AGTAAAAAGACATAAAAACCAAAAGCTAAAGCACCGAGAAGCATTCCCAAATGAAGCCTAAAACAAATTAATCTGTCACGTTCAAAGATGGTCTAGTGTGCCTTTTCCATTTTTCTTTCTTGTTGGTGTGCCTGTTTCTCTTGATATTTCCCCTGTTTAGTTCAAGTACCTAGATCTGGACAAAATTTTAAATCATGTCTGGGATGAGATTTTTTATGAGTTCCGTTTTCAGTGAGAAATGATAATTTCCACTTTACATAACTACTTATTTTATTGATATTGTTATGCTTATTAAAATTGAATCCAGAAAATAGAATCATGGGCTCCTGTCATCTCAAATTGTGCAAGTAATCTAGATTTTCTTGAGGGCCTTATAAATTGAATAAGCTGCCTGGTTTGCTAGTTTCATAAGTAATTTTCTAGATTGAGAAAGGAAATTATTGGAATATATTAGTAGTCTAATGTCCTTACACGTTATTTTTCATAGGATCATTGGTAGTATCCTGTCAGGATTTTGAAACTGATGAAGCTATTAACCATCAACTAACCATGAGGGAAGAAGATTCTGAGATCCTGAAGCAGCCACAGGTGTTTATTGATTCCTCTACTGTTGGAAGAATGGTAATCTTTTGTTAGTTAATGGAGTGGCCTCTAATTTACATTGTGCTTATGTACTGATCACAGTTTATTAATATTAGGAATGTGCCCAGACATATGCATCAGACCTGGAGACAATTTTCTCTCCTCTTCTGGAGCAAATTGAAATGCACCAGGAACCAAGTATTGACAATGACACAGGTGATTATTGGCTTTTCTGTTAGATAATAAATATTGAAGAAATATCTGCTATATTCTCTCCAGATATGTTTTTCATGCTATCAGGGAAAATATTGATTAAAAAAAGAAGATAGAATCTCAGGAATTTTTTTTTCTCTTACATGTTTCTAGAAATAAAAAAGCAACAATTTGGTAATTAGAATCTGGAATGCTAATCAGGTATATTTATGTTTCCTTAATGATCTCAACTGACATGGAGCAAGCCTGATACACTTGAATGAAATTTTTTTTTTTTTTAAAAAAAAAATTGCTATAGGGAATTTTAAATTTTCAGAGGCTTGTAAGTATCATGTTAAACAGCTGCATGCTATTGTTTCTTATTTATTTATCTCCTTTTCAATCCATGGTAGGGACTGATGATGGCCCTGAAATGCCTTCATTAGGAGCTGATGAAAGTGATGATAACAAAAGCTCAACTGACAATCAAACATGTAATGTATCAGACTTCTTTATCTCTGACATGATTATTGCGAGCATACCATATGATGGAAATGCAGTGGATGATAATATCATCGGAACCGGTTCCTTTCCTGACTTCAAATATTCTGAGCCAAGTATGTTATTTGACATTTCTGAGCAATATATGATATTGCCTTCCCTAGAGGAGACTGTCAGAGCCCACATTTTAGATGATGTTAAACCATGTGAAGAAGTCATAATGCCTCAAGATAATGCGGGCTTGTATCTAGCAATTGATCGGATGAGATCCTGCAATGAGGAATTCGACGTTAACTCCGACATAGATCAAGCAGAAGAATTTGATCCACAGTCATTCATAAAAAATGTATCAGAACTATCTGATGTGGTATCTAATTTTCGGCCCAGTATGGTGCCAAAGGAAACTCAAAAAAGGAAGTCTGTGACACTTGTACTTGATTTGGATGGTAAGGACATTTATTCTACTAGTGCTATTATATGCAATTTCAACTTCATATTTTTAATGTAGTTTTATTTTGTTATGGTTGTGGAGAATGTCGGCAGCTTCCCTCATGTTTTTATTTAATCTTGTGAAATCAGATTTAGATTGAGTTAATTAGAATTGTGTCACAAGATGTAGCCGGGTAGAAAGTATTGGTACGTGCCGTATTTGATCACTATGGTTTTGATATCTGCAGAAACTCTTGTCCACTCAACCCTGGAACATTGTGATGATGCAGACTTCACCTTTACAGTCTTTTTCAATATGAAAGAGCACACTGTATATGTAAAGCAGAGGCCTCACCTCAATACTTTCTTAAAGACAGTTGCAGATATGTTTGAGGTCATTATCTTCACTGCCAGCCAAAGCATCTATGCAGAACAGCTTTTGGATATATTGGACCCAGATGGGAAGCTTATATCTAGGCGTGTTTATCGTGAATCATGCATTTTTTCGGATGGGAGTTATACTAAAGATTTGACAGTTTTAGGTGTTGATCTAGCAAAAGTTGCTATAATTGATAATTCTCCTCAGGTATTCTTCCCGCCCTTTAGGCTTTATGGTTTTTCACTCTACATGCTTTGTTTTTGTTTACTCTCTTTAGATTTGAATTTACAATGTGTTGCCCTGTCTGTTTTTTAGATTATAATTGGATCTTGGTTTATGCCTTAAGAAATCATGCATAAAAGAAATGGTGCAATGAGAAAAAGGATTTCAGCAAGATTAGTCAAACTACTGAATTGGACAGTAATTAGTATTTGCTAGCTTCTGCTTCTAACTACCCATTAAGGGCCTGAAGTATGATTTTCCTTAAAAGGAAAGAGGAAAAGTGTCTGATTTATTTCGTAGAAGCCCAAAACGTATACCCTACCATCAATTCTTTTTACTTACTTATTTATTTATTTTAATGTGCTATGCCCCACCATCAACATTATTAACATTACAGGAAAAGATATAGAAAGCAAAATTAGAAAAAGGAAAAAGAAAAAGAAAAGGAAAGAAAATACAGTACAGATTGTCTAATTGATATTCCCCTGATCTCTCAAGCATTCTTCTTCTCTGCTAATTTCAGGTTTTCAGGTTACAAGTGAATAATGGGATTCCTATTGAGAGTTGGTTTGATGATCCATCAGATTGTGCACTAATTTCATTACTTCCCTTCTTAGAGACTCTTGTTGATGCAGATGATGTCCGCCCTATCATTGCTAAGAGATTTGGTAACAAGGAATAAGATTCCTTTGTTTTTTTCTCAATAGTTTTCAATATATCACCTTGTCCCTCTTGTTTGTTTTAAGCAAATCTGGCCTCTAATTGAAAGCTCAATTCTCTTTCCTTAGAGCTCTTTAGCTAATCAAGTATAAAATAAGTCTCATCTTTTTTCTCATTATTGGGTAAGCTCTTCTGTTCTTGTTTCCTTTCTTTTTCTCTTCTCAGTTGACCACCGAGTGGAGTGCTCTATCTAATTTTTCTCACCAAAAGGTAGTTATAAAAATCTCCGGTTATTTTGTACAGTTGAAGTTGCAATCATATGAGGGGGTGTATATGAATTATTATCTTATGAAATATAATTTTGTGATATTATCATTTGCTTGCTTTCTTTTTTGCTTAGTTCAGCATCATCTTTTCGTTTCTCTATTATTATCATTATTGATTGAAACCTATTTAGATGTCTCTTATGCTTGTACTACTAAATCGGAACTTTAGACTGAAAACTTCTAGGAACTGTTATTACACAATTACATGTTAGGTTCTATAACAATGTTGGGGTCTTCCATCCTGGTTTATTATGTCCAAGTAAACAATAAAATCACAGTTTGGGTTTTTAGGCCATTGATTCTTTAAGTTCCTTATGGGAAGCATATTCTGGAAAGAAGGGATATTTTGGCATAGAGAAAAGCTCTAAATATTTAAGAAGCACTGGGAACAGAGAGGTATTTTCGGAATGAAAATTAGAGTAGATGAAGTTAAGACTCCTCTCCTGTAACAATCAGTATGAAATCTGAGACATTGATGCTATATTCTGAGGAAAACTTAATATGAAGTTAAAATCAAGTAGATTAGACAGTGACAGTGATATAATGATGAATAAATAAATGATGCATGATTTAGGTCTTAATCATGTCAGAGAATGCTGACTGAATGTCATACTGTAGGGTTAAAGGTGGGATGTAAATGTGATTACTTTGGAGAGGTGAAAAAGAGAATGATGATTTGAAGCAATGAATTGTGGGATCCTGCTAAATATATTTCAAAGTTATCAGATGGAGATTAGGATTTCTATATAAGCTCTCATTAACAGAAGATCCCAAGTGAATGAATGATGAAAATGAAAAATGGAAACTGATTTGAACGGTTAAAAAAATAATACTAATAATCCACTTTTGTTATGTATCTAATGGGTTACCAATACATATGATATCTTTTTTGGTGGGTGAAACCAGGAAGGGTGACAGTGGAAGTTAGGTTTGTAGAATGCTTATCTTGTCTTAGTGATATTATTTTATGAAATTAATGGTGTTTTGTTGGATGGTTCACTAAGGCCTGTCAGCTTTTAGAGAAGGGATAGAGGTCCCAAATCTTTAGTGGAAAGAAGCTCATGCTAGGACTAGAAATAAAGAAAGAGCTAATTGCTTGTATCAGATTTTGTCTTCTGACTCTTCTAAGCATGGATTTTATATTATGATTGGTTTCCAAGATTGTGGGTGATTGGAGCGGATTTACTTCTGCTCTGTTCATATTACCATTCACATTATATCTTACTGCTCTGAATTCTACATTTGAAGATTTTGTCCTCATTTCTTCTTGTGCAGCAGAATTTATTACTTGATATCTTTTAGCTTACAAATTTTGTATGTTTAAGTGTCCCTGGTTTGTGCCATATTTGGTAGTGCTATAAGCCTCTCAAGCAGAGAATTGGACTTGGATCATCTGACATATGTTCCTCTTCTTAGTAAATCCTTGATCTTTACAAGTTTTGTACTAGTTCTGAAACAGTAGAACTGATCTGGTTAGAAGGCAGTTTACAATTGATTGCATAACTTTAGAATTTATTTTAGCTGTTTGAAATTAGGGAGAAATCGAAGCTTAATGGAAGGTATGTGATTTTGAAGAAGGTGTAGGTTTGTAGTCTAAAATTTGAGACCAAAGATAATCCCTGTCACTTGACTGGATGGTGCAAAAAGCATAACTTACTGAGCTTACTAGATTTTATATGGCTGTGTTGGGATGGAATGCAAATGGTTCTGTGCTTTTTAGATTGAAAGAAGTGATATTTGCTAGAGGTTGAAGTGATCAAAACTTAACTAATATCAGCAACATGCCAGTAAGGTAGCTCTTTGAGTTCTTGTTTAGGGGTTAGCCATCTGCTGTGTTGAAGATATGAGGAAGAAAAGCAGATGGGATGTGGGCTATGCAAATTGGCTTTGACTGCTTCTCATAACATCTCTTGAATGTTTCAATCTCTATTACAATTTTACAGTTTTGAATGCCTTGCCTGCAGGTTGCATGATGAACCTTAATAGATTACCTGCTAATGGCAGAATATTAGGTACGTGGACTTCTGTCGCCACTTAACCTTCTGTCTGCATTTTATTGACATGGTTACTCATTGTTTACGACATTTCTTTCTCTTTTTTTACCCTTAATTTCTGACATAAGAACAAACTGATTTGATTAATGTAAAGTTTTGACATTTGGGATCTCTGAGGTTATGTATAGAAAGCAAAAGCTCATCCTGGCCTTTGTAAGTCTTGACATTTGGAATCATGATGACTCATATTTGATGTAGCACACTTGAGAGGACATGCAACTAGTTACTGAATGTCGAAACAATGGTTAAAATTATGCCACAGAGCAGTTGCTTTTCTCGTATCATATTGTTGTTAAGTAGAAGACTGCTTATCAGAGTTTGTGAATTCAGTCATTAGATTTTCCTCCATTGAGGCAGCAATATCTTAATCAGAAAAGTGACCATTGATGGCTATTCTCTTGATATTGGGAGCTCACCCTTCCATTAATAATTAACTGTTTTGCAGGATAAACTGTAAAATAGTAAAATAGCATTTTGTAGCTTAATATGATTTTAATTTAATTGTAAATATATCTGTATTAATATACTAATATATTGCAATATATGAAAAATAATATATAGAAATTCCAATTTAAATGACATGATATATAATGTAATTTTTGATAATTTTCTAAGTTCAAACATTCATGAAAGTGGATTTATTTAATTTCTTTTATTGTGTTATTGCTTAAAAAACGTAGAAAATGTCCATTCTGATCATTTTAACATCTGTTACTACTTTTTAGCATAATTTATTTAGAGGTAGTTGGTTGTCAATCCATTTGATTTTGATCCAACTATGAATTAGCATATGAAGGCCAAAAGGGAAAAAAAAAAAAAAGGATAAAAGAAAAAAAAACAACCATGAATTAGCAGGCAATGCTTTTTCAACATCAAAGTGTTCCATTATGCACTCTTGCTTTTCAGAACATGAAAATAAGTCAAGCCAAATGGATTATAGGTTGAATGCTAGGGCAGTCTTCAGGCCTTTAGCTGTAATGAACTCGTGTTTGCTGCTTGGGTTTAATGAGGAAGACGACACGGTTATGACCTTTTTACCTAATTGTACACCGTCCTTTGAGTGCATGGCATACTGATGCTTTCTGCCCTCTACTGTCTATCTCAAACTCGATATATATTTAACTGGAGGTTTGGGGCCCCTTTCAAGGATGTTTGCTGGGGTTAAGTACAAATTTTGCCTGAAAAAGAAAACGAAATTTGAGAACAAGGGATACAAGACGAATATTAACGAGGAAATGCCATAAGAGAAGGCGTACTCTATGTGGTTTGATAAATGTTCTTAGCTGCTCAAAATACTGTTTAAAACAGCAAATTGTGCTCTTCAAAAGAGAGACAATAAAAATTTCAGCATTCTGAAACCAGCGCATTTAACCCGTGTTTCTTTTCAATGTTTCCTTTACTCCTTTTTCTGGTTTAAGAAGAGACTTCAACAAGCACTTACGCTGGGCATCAGCATGAAGTGATGGTTTAACTCATTATGAGAATCCTGTTGCCGGGGAGCTGAAAATAAAACAGTCTCAGATGCATGCCTACCACGAGACATTTAACCTTCTTGCCCCTGCACAATTAGTAAAGAAACAATATGAAGCAAACAAGGATCCACAAAGAAACAGTCACATCCAAATGTCCGGAGACTTCCAATAACTAATCCAGAGGAGTGTCCAATTATCCTTTGTTACAAGTTACCACTACGTAATTTATAGGAAGTAAATTGTTTATATAATTTAACAGCGAAAAGCATGTCAAAAGGGTTGATTTAGTAGAATTATAAAGTGATCAATGAGAATACAAGAAGCATGCAGAAAAATTTAAGAACAAATCACATGCCTTGGATTGAATGTTCTTAACTTCTTTCACAGAGCTACCAAATCTAGTTGTATAACATGTATTCATTTCCACTCAGATACAATATCTTCTTTACTCCTGTAGAAAATTTTTAACTAATAAACTTGTCTCCTAAAAGATTAGACATTGAGGCACACCTGTTAGCTTGATTCTGTTCATGTCTGGATCTACAATGTTGCAATCTGCTCTTCTGGTTTTCTTTCTTCCTGTTCTTCTTCCTGCTGCTTCACCAGCAGCTGCTGCTGTTGTTGTTGCTGCTGCTGCTGTGGCATGTGCTGCAGCTGAAGTTGGTTCTGCTGCAGGTAAAGGAGATTTTGTTGCTGCTGCTGCTGCAAATATTGTTGCTGTTGTTGCAATTGCTGCTGCTGCTGATTGTATGGGTGTTGTTGCAGAAACGGTTGCTGCTGCTGCTGCTGCTGAAGTTGTTGCAGCTGTGCCTGTTGGTTGGGTAGTTGTTGTTGCGGCTGAAGATAATACTGTTGCATTAGCAGCTGCTGCTGTTGTGGAGACTGTTGATTTTGTTGTTGCAAAAGAAACTGCTGCTGCTGGTAGTAATAATATTGCCACATCTGATTATATGCTTGGTTACTCTGCATTTGCCCAAGTTGCTCATTATTTTGCATGAGATGTTTAGGCATCTGTGCTTGAGGATGAGTGAGGGCAAAATTCTGTTGCTGCATATTTTGCATTAACCAGGCTTGAGCTGCTGCTAGGTTTCCATAAGGAGCTGTGTATACATTTTGTGCATGACCTCCTTGGTGAAGTTGTGATGAATTGTTCAAAGACATGGTTGGACTGGGGTAACCCTGACTTACAGGCATTTGACTGGCAACTTCAGCTTGTGGGTAAGGCTGCTGCGGAGATACCTGCCCCCTTTGATGCAGCCTTTTATGAGAATGCCCATGAAACCCATATTTGCTTTCTCTATGAACTTGGTCAACATTATTTCTTTGATTTCGGTTGCTACAACTGTGTGGAGATGTCTCTTGCTGTAAAAGTGGCTCTTTTCTTGCTAAGATTTGATGACTAGCTGACGATGGACTACCCATTCCAACAAGAACTTCGGAAGAATCACATGCTTGAGCACCCCTTGGGCTGACTTCAAATTGAGCTCCCTCAGTATTCTGCCTAGGCTCTACCATGCTTCCATTTGACATACTGGTTTCTTGAGGAGGTTCACTCTTCATTGTGCTTCCATTCAATAAACTGGCTTCTTGAGAAGTTTCACACTCATGAGTGGCAACATTGATTGAATCCAAGGATTTATTATCCTCATCATCTAAAGAAAGTCTCTCAACTGAAAGTTGGTTCTGATTAAGATCGTTTTCCAACTTAAGTTCATGCTCTTCCTCAACAATTTTTTTCTTAGAGACTTCAACTTCCTTGGGGACTTCAAGCACTAAATCAAGAGACAAGTTATTTGTATCTGTTGTGTCTTCCTGGGGCTGCTCTAAAACCTCAGGACATACACACTGCACTTTATTCTGCAAACTTTCTTCAACCTCTCCTGATTGAAGCAGGTTAAATGTAGGTTGGTTGGACGGGGTTTCATGATTTCCCAGGGATGATGTCTTTTGATCTGATACCTCACCCAAGGCAGGACAGTGAGGCTGGATGTCATCATTTTCGGGGTGTTCCAGTTTCTTGTCCAGCAATGCTAAGTTGGTTGGGATATCAGGACTACAATCTCCGGAGGACTGATCAGGCAAAGTGACAAGATTTTCCTGCCTTCTTCTATTAACTATTCTCAATGGTTTTCTACCTGTATCTGAGAACTTATATAAAGCACTTCTTACAGAGTTGGGAAACAATTTCACATACCAATTCCATGCTTTCTTTACGTCATCAATGGTTCCACAGAGATCAACATACTGTCACCATTCACGATTTGTCAATAAGTAGGCACTGGCACAATATGAGTTTAGATGAAAAAAATGATAGCAAAAATATATAGATTAGTAACATAGAAGTTATAGTCTAGAAATATGCTCAAGCAAATAGTCAACTATATGTCTAAGTTAAAGACCATGATGGGGCATTCCTTAAGCTGGCATAATTAGAAGCAAAATTGAGGAATACTGCACAAGACGATGGACCTACTTTTAAAAGTGCTAGGTTGATCCCCTTGCAACTCACGTTATGACAGACACCTTTTTAAACCCCCAGTATCTTGTCACCAGGCCACCAACATGCCATCTTCAATATCATTTATTACACCATGGGCATATTACAGAAAATTGCTTTTTCAGTCATTGATCCTAATTTATGTACCCAGGATCTCCCAAACTGTTACATAAACATAATATGGTCGGTACAAGACAACTGGCATGGCAAGAGTTCAGGAATTGTTGAATTCAATTTCTATCTGAATAAAGAGTCATGAGGAAAAAGAAAGATGACATGTAAACTAGTACTGAACAAATGAATGAGTGGCACCAACACACTAAACATGAGGAGCAATAAAACCCTCTCGTTCCATTTTTCCCCCAGATTGGAAACAGCATTAGAAAAGTTCAATGAGAAACTGTTTACCTGTAAATATAAGCTTGCAATATCCTCTGTATCTTTCACATTTAAACCTTGAGATGAGTCTGGTCCTAGAGATATTGAATCATTTACCATAGAATATATCACCTGTACGTGCCTAGTTTCTCCATGTAACATAGCAAATTTTATCAGTTCCTGCAGAAATAACAATCGAAACCATTTAAAACTCTTATAACAGTCTAATGGCAGGTAGACTAAGAAAAAAAAACAATACATCAAAATCCTAGAAATGCCAGGTAAAGATGAAATTGACTTTACTATAGTGCTAACCTACATGTCACCACCAGCCAATATATGGTCTGAAGACCACAGTAATGTTATTCAAGTTTATAATCCTACAAGAGAGAGATTCTCATTGAAAAGCTAAGCTGCAGATAGAGAAGAGAAGTGAGAACCACCTCTAGAAGTAATTTGCAATGAGGCAGACGTTTGATGCCATCTATTAAGATGTCTCTGGCAGTATCCCTGTTTCCAGTAAGCTGGAAATAAAATACAAAGAGAAACTATTCATTTCCAAGAGTACCAAGCAAATCTACAAAGTGAAAAAGAAATGAAAAAGGTTGCAGAGGAAATGAAAAAAAAAAAAAAAAAAAAAATCTTAAACCACATTAGCATTAAATGCTGCATAGTATTTGTACATCAATCATCTAAATAACTTATTAAATTTATCAGTTCTCCTTAAAGAAGTATCCATGGCTATAATAAGTACATAACAATTTAAAAGTGAAACGTGAATATTTTCCAATGCAAATAACAATTGGACTCATAACTTAAACAGAAGAAGCTAACTGATATACAATTGATATAATGGAAAGTAATAATCTATACCTAGAACCAGAGAGACTTTCAAAGGTCGACAAGGTCTGGATATGAATATTTTTACCCACCATATATTGAAGTCGAGAAAAATGAACATATAACATGGGGAGGTCATGTAAGTTTTCCCTTGCAGCAGAAACTTCTATGGCTTCTTTGTATATACCAGAAGCTGCTAAATGATTACCCTGACAATTTTGGAGAAGCAATGACATGCTTAAGTGATTCCTAGAAAATAAGGAATAAAGGAAATGCATATGGGTTACAAATGATATAAAAAATATATTATTTACCAAACGCTTTTCCATGTTAGCTTTCATTATAACAGTTTCAACAAAGCACGAATCTGATTCTGCATTGTATTGAAGAAATGCATCATATGCACCAGAGATATTTCCTATTTGCTCCTTATACCTAGCACTGAAAAGATGGATCACTGGCAATCTCTGCAATGAAAAAATCAGCAGGCCGTATGGCTCTCTGGTCAAGTATAAGCCAATAGAATCAAAATGTGTGTCAATGTGTGAAGTAGAAGCAATCAACCAAAGTTATATCATGACATAAATTTGTCCTATGATTTCTGATGCTGGAAGAATGATTACCTTCAGAAAAGTCTGTGTTGCTCTGGCCAATGCAAAGTTTGAGATCTCTCGCCCACCCTTACTTTCCATGAAATCCACATAACGCATCCAGAATTCAGGATAATTAGCGCATGGAATAAGACATCTCTCGTACAGTTTAACAGCCTATATTTGATCAAGTAAAGAGATTCAGATGCTAAAAAATTCAATGGGGAAAAATCCAAAACAAGAAGAGTGTTGTGCTACTATACCCAGTCAAAATCTCCATGCATTTCAACAAAGTTTAAATACTCATGCCAATTGTCCAATTGACTGACATCAAGTGGTTTTGGATGGAAATAGGGCCTCCGAATGTGACTCTCAAAGCATTTTATTTTCTCATCCAATTGACATGCTTCCTCATAGAACTGCTTTCCAATGGACAAATATTTTTGCAGTGCTTTACTTCCATCCAAACCGATTGAGGGATCCAACAAGTCCTCAATGATGTGAGCAATTTCATCATCTGTACAATCTCTAGGGACTTCACTTTCTATTGAGGCAACTAACTGTAAATCCATAGAAGAATCACCCAGACACTCAATCTCCTCTTTCCAGGCAGCAGCCAACTCCTTGAAACTGAAGAAAATGTGATAGTTTTCTGGTAACTATGTAATTTGAGTGATATCATAGAATGTGAAGGGGAGGCAAATTTATAGAGGAAGAACGCTAAGTATTCTATTCATGCCAAGAAACAATGGGAAATCAGATATAAATTGTAAGATTATAATACTAGTATGGTAGCAGGTAAATCAGGGCCCTTATAGGTATACATATGGCATCAAACATCTGTAATCACTCAAGGTCATTGAACATACAAGCATTATAATGAAACAATATGGCATCTAGATGTAAGCAAATCAATAAACACAAAAGGAGGTTTAAACAATTCAAGTAAATAATTTACATATCAGACCTCTCATAATAGTGATGCAACTTTTTGGATGGAAATTTCAGAGTTTGGATGTAAACTTGTGCTAGGGAACCCCACTGCTGCTGAGAAAACTCAAATGCAATGTACTTGTCCCACAATGTATGACATAAGTAATCCTTTCCAACAAAGGACATGGCTCTTTTAAATAATCTGTCAAAAAATTTCAGGAAAAAAAAAATATTATTCCTCTTAAATATCTCAGAAGGCAAAAGACAGGAGAAGCAAGTAAGTCTACTAGACTACTACTGAAGCATTATATCAGATTATCAGGTTAGCATAGATAATAGAGAACAAAAATATTATGTGAAGATATTTACAAGTAAATTGACGAATAAATGAAATCAGAGTCTCCATAAGAACAAACTAAACCACCAAAATATACTACCTAATATGTGCCTTCACAATAGTGCTTGTACATGTTGGAAATGCACAAAATCTCTAGAGTTTAAACCTTGATAGGATGGCATTTGTCCACATTTTTTAGGAAAAAAAGGCAAGCTTTTCCATTCCATATCCATAAGAGCACTAACTACATCATACTTCCAGGCATCTTGTACTCTTTTAAAGGGTTAGGGTACCCCTTGAACTCCTTTCAATAAATTCATTTGCTTATAAAAAAAATATATAAATATATATATATATAAATATATACTCCCAGGCATACACATTTGTCCACATTGTTAAACCAATATCAAGAATCAATCTTGATTCATTGGGTTACACTTGTCTTAATAGAAAGTTTAACATCAAAAACCAGTTGCCAAAGTGGCAAAGTGAAGGGGGTCGAGTCAAAATGCTGAGGACCAGTTAGCATCAAGTTTGTTCCACCAAAAGAGCAATTTCACCTTGTTAATATATAACCTATTAAACATCAAGCGTTGATTCTTACCCCAACTAAAAAGAAAAAAAAAAAAAAAAAAAGAGAGAAAAAAAAAAAGGCTTACCTACGAATGTCATTAGGGTCTTAAAAAGAGAAAAAAAAAAAAAGGCTTACCTACGAATGTCATTAGGGTCTTCAAAAGCTAAAATACTGAAGATACAATAGTCAACCCACACATTAACAGAATATGTTGCCGAGTGCACTGCTCGTTCAAACACTTGAACAACCTTGTCTACAGTGGACAAGCGTTTCAAGTGATCTGCATACCTCCTCCAGTAACCATAGCACAAAGGAAACTCAGACAAGAAGGAATCATAAACCAAACATATTTTCTCTATGTCATCCTGCATTAATCACACATACTTTTCAGCATGTCCAAATCAATGCATATTAAAGTAAAGAACTTTGACAAAACTAGAGCTTACCTGAAACAAAGTTTCAATCTCAGATATCAGTGATGTCCACCCATCAAAGTCTAATGTGCCTCCATCAATAATCTCCTTAAGCCCGATCTCATCGAAATCATCTTCTACAAAACAAACAAAAACGCTCCAGATACATACAAGAAATTCCATGAATCCAGAAAACAGTGGGAAAAACGGATACCTAGAGAATCTTCTTGCATGGGCTGCGAGTCAGATTCGGTTCTTGAAATCTGCAATTCCATCTTCACCGCCAATTCCGCCGTCGGAGAAAGCTGATGGCTTTGTGGAGGAGAAGGGAGGCAAGATAAACCAGTACCAGTTCCAGCTGAAGAAGACAGGAATAAAACGCCTGCGCTCTGTGCCGTTTTGGTAAATGGAGAAGCCGCCAAGTGTTGGGCTGGACTAACATGGGTCGGATGAGCAATTTTTGAGTACAGAACATGAAGTCCATCCACATGCTTTTTAATATGTTGGGCTCATCTGAATAATTTGTTATATTGGCCCTTACTGCTTTTCAATTTAGATTTCTTTCCGATCTAGTCAAACCCAAACTATTTCTAAAAAAAAAAAAAAATGGTATTTTATAGCATATTAGAATATAAAAATATTAGAGTAATGATAGGGAGGAATTTGGGATGTAAATTTAAAATTAATGATATGATTTT